AATAATGTATTTTTTTTGTTCTTATTCTTCAATTGATTGTTCAAAAATTTGTTATTCTACAAGAAGTTTTTAAATTAATGATCAAGAAATAGGTTCAAGAATATTTTTATTATTTATGGTTCAAGAATATTTTTATTTTTGAATATACTCATAAACATATTCTGCCAGAATTTCCGAATTTACAGAGCTATAATTCGTAAAATCGAATTCTTCAAATTAATAAAATCTATGATCCCTTAAAAATGCAATTTTCCTTTATTAAATCTATATTAATTGACTAAATTATCCTTGTAATTAATTAAGATGATATTTTTCAATTATATTTAATTCAATAATATATATTAATCACTTTCTTAAAATAAGTAAATTTGATTGACACACATTTATGCATACAATAACAAAATAATTACTTTGAATATAATAACCTAAACCTATATATATATATATATATATATATATATATATATATATATATATATATATATATATATATTGTAAAGACTTCAACTATATAGGTGTTTTTGCGCATTATAATGTCAGGTTCAATATATATTTCATTTCGCTTAAAAACCAAATAATATTTTGTAAATAGTTAAAAATGATAATTTGTAGTGATAAATGCAAAAACTAAATTGTAATCTCAATTTAAATAAAATAATTCCTAAAGATATTTTTATAATCGTAAAAAGTTTCCAAATAACTAGCTTAAAATAACTTACAATAACATTAGTTAAAAATAATTCTGTATAAATAATTATATTGTTACCTTTAAAATCAAAAAATAATGTTTGATGGTTTTAAATAATTATAATCATAGAAATTAACACATTAAATAAATAAATTTTAAAAAATTAATTAACAAAAACAACAACTATAAATAACATTAAATCATATATTATATTTAATTTTATTCATGTGTGACTCGCCGGTAAAAGTGATTCAAACGATTGAGATTGTGAAGTTATAATAGATGTATATATTATCATATAATTCAAAATAATCAATATATATTATCAATTTAGTATACAAATTATTAAATCGAATTTAACAACAACGTTATTATTATATTTAAAAAACATACGTTTGTAAATACTTCAATTATATAGGCGTTTTTGCGCAACGCGCAAGCATTCACCTAGTATCCTTATAAAGAATATATTTTTTCTTTCACCACATTCATTTGAAACTCTCATATATTTTTCCTTTCACAATATTCATTTGAAACTCCCTTCACTTTTCAATTTTTTCTAATAATAATTATTAGCTAGTTATTAAGGTTAAATAAATATCAACCCTAAAGTGTAATCATATATAAACTAAATTTCAATATTAAAATAATATCTTTACTTATACTTATAAAGTGATGTATTTTAACTTTTAACATATTATACTTAATTCATTAGTTTTAATATATTGTTGGATGTAAACCACTATCATTTTAAAGATACAATTTTGGAACAATTTGTATAAAATACTAAAATTATTAATTTAAATATAATTTTACATGAGCAACTTAAATAGAATTTTCAGTTTAACTTAAACAACCCAAAAAATATTTTGTAAAAAGTTAAAAGTGATAAATTGTAGTGTTTTTCGAATAATGATTATAACATGATTAATACCGTTAAATAAATATCAAACCTGTAGTATAATCATAAATAAACTAAATTTCAATATTAAAATAATATCTTTACTTCTACTTATAAAATTATGTATTTCTCTTTTAACATATTATACTTAATTTATTAAATTTAATATGTTGTTGTATGTAAACCATTATCAGTTTAAAGCGACAACTTTTGAAAAGTTTGGACAAAATACTTAAATTGTTAATTTAAATGTAACATTATAGTGTCAACTTAAATATAAATTTCAGTTCCACTTAAAAAACCAAAGAATATTTCGTGAATAGTTAAAACAGATAAATTGTAACGTTAAATGCAAAAACTAAATTATAATCTCAATTTAACTAAAATATTTCCTAAATATATTTTTATAATCGCTAAAAGTTTCCAAATAAGAAGCTTAAAATAACTTATAATAAAAATAGTTAAAAATAACCCTACGTAAATGATTATATTGTTATCTTTAAAATCAAAATTAAAACAATGTTTGATGTTTTAAATAATTATAATGATAAAATTTTAAACATTGAGCAAATAAATTTTAAAAAATTAATTAAAAATAACAATAACTGTAAATAACATTAAACCATATATTATATTTAATTTTACTCATGAGTAACTCGCGGGTAAAAGCCATTCAAACGATTGAGATTATGTAATTATAACAGATGTATATATTATCATATAATTCGAAATAAACAATATATTATATCAATTTAGTATACGAATTATTATATTAAATTTAACAATAAAGTTATTGTTATATTTAAAAAAACATATATTTGTAAAGATTTCAACTATATGTGTGTTTCTGCGCAACGCGCAGACATTTGCCTAGTACTATATCATAAATGAAACATTTTTCATTTCACCACATTCATTTGAAACTCTCACGTATTTTTCATTTCACCACATTCATTTGAAACTCCTATGACTTTTCACTTTCTTTCTAGTAATGATTATAACTTGGTTAATAAGGTTAAATAAATATCAAAAGTAAAGTTTAATCATATATAAACTAAATTTCAATATTAAAAAATATATTTACTTCTACATATAAAGTTATGTTTTTTTTTTTTAAAACTTTTAACTTATTATACTTAAATACTTCAACTATACAGGTGTTTCTGCGCATTACAATGTCAACTTAAATATAAATTTCAGTTGCACTTAAAAAACCAAAGAATATTTTGTAAATAGTTAAAAGTGATAAATTATAGTGACAAATACAAAAAATAAAATATAATCTCAATTTAACTATTATTTTTCCTAAATGTATTTTTATAATCGCTAAAAGTTTCCAAATAAGTAGCTTAAAATAACTTACGCTAACAATAGTTAAAAGTAACTCTATATAAATGATTATATTGTTACTTTAAAATCAAAAAATAATTTTTGATGTTTTAAATAATTATAATGATAGAAATTACAAGATTAATCGAATAAATTTTAGAAAATTAATTAATAATAACAACTATAAATAACATTAAACCATATAGTATATTTAATTTTATTCATGTGTAATTCGCAGGTAGAAGTCATTCAAATGATTGAGATTATGAAATTATAATAGATGTATATATTATTATATAATTCAAAATATTCAATATATTATATCAATTAAGTATAAAAATTATTATATCAAATTTAACAACAATGTTATTATTATATTATATATATACATATATATATATATATATATATATATATATATATATATATATATATATTCATGACCATCATGTATGGTGTCTACTCCGGTGTTAATCTTGACTATGGGACAATGCTTTCGACTCAACACATCCAAAGTACTCTTTCTACAACACGGCACACCGAGATCTCTTGTGCTTGTTTCTAGATCATTGTTGTACAGAGGGCTATTGATCGCCTCAACATTGAGTTGATAGAGGGTTCGATTATGGCTAACATTCAAGTTTTCCACACCAAAAAGATCATTCTGCCAGACACTTCTAGATTCTCCTTCATTGGATCAATCCCATAATCAATGCTTCATAACGTCCCAACTGCAAGTGAAGTCATTAAAGCCTATCGCAGTCTACCAGCTTCAGGTCTTCGTCCAATGACGGATACTATACGAAAGGTTGTTTAGGAGGCTGATAAGCCAAAGAAGGGAGGTAAAAGAAAACCAAAGGTTAGACCCTTCGAACATGCCCATACTCCAAAGAAGAAGGTCATGCAAGTAGATCGCAAGCCAAGGACTCTTACTATAAGTGTAGAAGAAGATTCACATTCCAATACAATCTCTGATATTCTCCAATAAGAGGAAGTCTAGCTTGAACAAGACGATGCAACTGTATTTTTGCAACCCGAAGTTTCGAAGCCAATCTTTACGAATCCAAAGGTAACTTTTTCAATGACTGAATTTGTTCCTTTCACTGATGACTTCTTTAAAAACTTTACTCATCCTCACTCTCCAATTACTACTACTACTCCAATCACTATCACACCTTGTACAACTTTCTCTATAGGAGTTTTGCAACCACAAGCCACCGTTGTATAGTCTACCCCTTTGTTCTATGATTCAACAGCAATAACCACAACTACTAGTGAACCTCAAATTTTTGTCAACATATCTGATATGGGGAAGGTGCTTCGGGTTTCACTCTTGGTCAAGATTCTGCTCCTATCTTACCTCTACGACAAGATGACCCAGATACTGTTTTCGGGGGCGATGAGGATTTTGAAGCTTTTACATATAGTCCTTTCACAGTTCGAGAAGATAGTGATGATGATGATGCTCCTGTTACCAAAGGGAAAGTCAAGGACATCAATGAGAAGTTGGATACCTTGCTTTAGTCTACCAAAACGTTCTCTCGCAGTGACTATTTTGAGTAAACTATCAAGGCATTCCTTTAAACCCTGACCAAAGAGCACACTGCGAACCTTGACAAAACAAACAAGGCTATTGCTGACTCTGCAACTGTTTGCAAGGATACGACCGAAAAAGTCGATAAACTAATTTATGATGCTCAATCTTTCATGACTAATTTCCAAAATTCTTTTGAAATGAACACTACAAAGGCGAATGCAGTAATAACCAATCTTGGAACTACCCTTCGGACTGAGAAGCATGCTCTTGAGAAAGTTCGTGCTAGCATTCTATCTGACAATATAGAGTTTCACACCTCCATCTCTTCCAAAATAGACAAGCTTCATGAAGATTTGGCTCTTGAGAACAAAATAATGGATGAGCTTGGCGTCAAAATAGAAAAGGTGAAGTGTCTATCTGTCAAGCTGGCACATGCTAATAAGTATATTAATGCGCTCTTGTCTGAAAAGGATGTGATAAAGCGTTGTGTTGCCGATGTGAATCCCTTACTCTCCGGTCTTATTGAGACTCGTGATTCTCTAATCATGATCACTGTTAGGAAGCATCTAGTTGATAAACTTAGGCATGTATTCGCGATGCTCAATAGGCTTGAGGGTGTTTCAGAACCTGACACACTTCTGAAACAAGGGGAAGACACTGAGAAGCCATCTACAAAAGAACACCAGAAACCTGCTGGAACTTCTGGTGAAGCTGAAAAGGCAAAGGGATCTGATCCGAAGGTTAATGTAGCTTCAGGATCAAAGGGAAAGGAAAAGATCATTGATGATGATGATGATGATGAAGACGAAGAAGACAAGAGTGTGAATCTCAAATGGAAAGCTCGTGATGAAGTTCTCGACGAAACTTGTGAATCGCAAGAGAGGCTGACACACGTGAAAAAGAGCTTTGTGATGCCCAGGCTGCTCTAGAAGCTAAAAAGTTGTTATTTCCTCCTTGGTCCATGGAGAGGATTTTGATAGAAGCAATTGAAAACTCGAGCATTCACTAGTTAGAGCTGGTTACTTCTTTTGAACTAGAGAACACCCTAGATTCGCAACTAGATTTACATATCACCCCAAAAACCTTTTTGTTTCGCAACTTTGAGGTAATTGTGAATGCTTCTGAATCGGATGATAATGTGAACAAGTCTTTGATTGCATTCTACCTGAAGCACGGCAAGCAACAATACCAGACTTGATTTCATAGAAAATAATATGGGTCAAGGTTACTGGGTCAATAGAAAATGAGAGCTTCGTTAATGTCAAGTTTAAAACTTCTCGAGGTTCTGAGAGTTCTATGTTTGAGTTCCTTCTCGCAGATTTGCCATGTTTGAACCCCTTCGATTGGATCACTCTGTTACATCTCTTGATGAAGGATGAAAATAAGTACGAACCTATTGTAGCATAACTCAAAAGTATGTTATGAAGTAGCGGAGATGGACGTTGAAATAACTATTGTGTTATGAAAGAAACTAACTGTTCTTCCCCAAGGTCTCGCGAAAGACATCGAGAAGATGAAGATGGGGAAAATAGAAAAAAGACAACTGGACTGTGATGTTTCAACGAGGATCTAAAGAAAGGGGAGATATCTAGAAATGTTTGTTTTCTCTGCCTGATAAACACCTGTTTTCCACCACTTGCTTGAACTATATTTTGGAGATCACTGGTAATTTCAAGGTGAATGATGATGCTGCGAATAAGTGCTATTCATATATGATTAGGTGGTATATAGCAGTTCGCAGTACTCTCCTCAGTATCATGCCCAAGCTCTTCAAGATGGAAAAACAAACACAACCGTGAAGAGTCTCATGCCTCAATTGACACAAAGGTGGAGATTGTTGGGTCTAATGGATTGCATCAGTTGTATTTATTTTGTATAATCCATTTTGTGTAACGGCTTGGGCCTGTCTAACTCGGTTGTTTCTGTGCTAGAGTTTAGCTATATATAGTGCATGTATGCACCATAAATGAAGTCGATGCTTTTGTAACCCAAAAACGTGCTTTTACAGTAGCAATTCCTAATCGAGCTATCCTAAAGCATAGATTATAATCATTCAGTACTACTTTGCTCTTGATTCTTTGTATTTGATTCTTATTCCCGTTCTTGAATCTATTGATCAACATTTAATTTTATTCTAACAATAAGGTTAAATAAATATCAAACCTAAAGTTTAATCATAAATGAACTAAATTTCAATTTTAAAATAATATCTTTACTTCTACTTATAAAGTTATGTCTTTAACTTTTTAACATATTACACTTAATTTATTAGATTTAATATGTTTTTGTATGTAAACCATTATCAGTTTAAAGCTATAACTTTTGAACGACATAATACTTAAATTGTTAATTTAAATATAACATTACAATGTCATTTTAAATATAAATTTCAGTTCCACTTAAAAGAACCAAAGAATATTTTGCAAATAGTTAAAAGTGATAAATTGTTGTGATAAATGCAAAAACTAAATTGTAATCTCAATTTAACTAAAATATTTCCTAAATATATTTTTATAACCGTTAAAATTTTTAAAATAAGTAGCTTAAAATAACCTACAATAATAATAGTTAAAAATAACTTTATATAAATGGTTATATTGTTACATTTAAAATAAAATAAATAATGTTTGATGTTTTAAATAATTATAATGATATAAAATTATAATATTAAGCAAATAAAATTTTAAATAATTAATTAAAAATAACAACTATAAATAACATTAAACCATATAGTATATTTAATTTTATTCATTTGTAATTTGCGGGTAGAAGTTATTCAAACGATTGAGATTATGCAGTTATAATATATGTATATATTATCATATAATTCAAAAGAATCAATATATTAAATCAATTTAGTATACGAATTATAATATCAAATTTAACAACTTTATTATTATATTAAAAAACATACATTTGTAAAGACTTCAACTATATAGGTGTTTCTGCGCAATGCACAGAGATTCGTTTAGTAATACTTATAAAGGAAACATTTTTCCTTTCACAACATTCATTTGAAACTCGCATGACTTTTTAGTTTCTTTCTAATAATGGTTATAAGTTGGTTAATAAGATTAAATAAATATCAAACCCAAAGTTTAATCATATATAAACTAAATTACAATATTAAATAATTTATTTACTTTTAGTTATAATGTTATTTCTTTAACTTTTAACATATTATACTTAATTTATTATTTTTAATATGAAGTTGTATGTAAACCATTGTCATTTTATAGCTACAACTTTTGAATAGTTTGGATAAATACATAAACTGCTAATTTAAATATAACACTATATGATCAACTTAAAAATAAATTTCCGTTCAACTTAAACAACGCAAATAATATTTTGTAAATATTTAAGAGTAATCATAAATAAACTAAATTTCAATATCAAAATAATATATTTACATCTACTTCTAAATTTATGTCTTTAACTTTTAACATATTATACTTAATTTATTAAATTTAATATGTTGTTGTATATTAATCATTATCCGTTTAAAGCTACAACTTTTGAACCGTTTGGATAATATACTAAAATTGATAATTTAAGTATAACATTATAAGCTCAACTTAAATATAAACTTCATTTCTACTTAAAAACCCAAAGAATATTTTGTGAATAGTTAAAAGTGATCAATTGTAGTGATAACTGCAAAAACTTAATTGCAATTTCAATTTAACTAAAATATTTCCTAAAGATATTTTTATAATCTTTAGAAGTTTTCAAATAAGTAGTTTAAAATAACTTAAATAATAATAGTTAAAATTAACTCTGTATAACTGATTATATTGTTACCTTTAAAAACAAAAACCAATGTTTGATGTTTTAAATAATTACAATGATAGAAAGTAAAACGTAAAACAAATAAATTTTAAAAAATTAATTAATAATAACAACAACTATAAATAATATTAAACCATATATTATATTTAATTTTATTCATGAATACCTTGTGGGTAGAGGTCATTCGAACGATTGAGATTATCCAGTTTTAATAGATGTATATATTATCATATAATTCAAAACAATCAATATATTATATCAACTTAGTATACGAATTATTATATCAATTTTAGCAACAACGTTATTGTTATATATAAGAAGACATATTTGTAAAGATTTCAACTACATAGGTGTTTCTGCGCAACGTGCGAGTTTTCGCCTAGTATACTTATAAATGAGATATTTTTTTCTTGCACCATATGCATTTGAAACCTCTAAAACTTTTCATTTTCCACATAAGTATTGACAACCGTTCATAAGTTTTGTAATTCATATATACTTAATGGTATTCTATAAAACAAATTGATTAATTGATGCTCATTTTTTAACTTATATATACTTAGTTATATTTCATGGTTATTACACTCTCAAGGTTTCCACATAATATCTCTTTACCTATGTGTATGCATAATTTTATTTCCTTGCACATAATACCAATGGATGTATTGCCGCTAAAATATTTGATTATTTTGTTACCATGTTTTTTATTCTCACTTTCGATAAAGCTTTTGTATTTCATTTGTGTGTGTTCATGGGTTGTTTCTCATATCTCCAGTGAAACCAAAATTTAGAGTGGTAATACATCTCAACCATATATTCTTCTACTTACATGATTTTTTTTTTTTTACTTTTAGATAATAATTAGGATTCTAATTATTAATTCTTCCAATTAAGTAGAATGATAATATTGCTCATTCTTAGGGCATTTTTTACGTTATAGGTTTAAAATGTGATGATTGTTTACAAGATTACTTTTAATTAAAAAAATGTTATAGTATTATATCAATTTTCATTAAAACACGTGATTTGGGTGGTTTAATATTTTTACTCAAATAAGTATTTACATACGTTTCACTCTATATAGTATATCTCTATATTAATATATGATATATGATATATTCACATGACTAGATGTATGCAAGTGCAAAGCTTAACCAAGTTAATTGATGCCAAAATATAAGAACCAAGATCATATTAAACATGTTGATGAGATTACGTGAGTTAGAGAAGACGAATGCAACAATTTGGATTTAGTCTGTTATTCGAGTAATGAAACCGGATTGTTCAAACTGGACCCGAATAACCAAAAAGCGGATTAACGGAAGTAAAATGGTTCGGTTAAGTGTATCGATAACCCTAAATCTGACTTACCTGCATGACGATCATGCCTAGATAACATGAAGTATGTTCGGTGGTGTGATATTCTTTAGGTTAAATGACTTCATTAATTACATTTGTCTCTATGTAAATGTGTAACTAAATATTTTTTCAAAGTCAACTGATTTTATATATAGATTGTAAATTGTTATTTATGTATGTGAATGGAAGCAAGTGTGTATTGATGTATTTTATAAGGAAAAATGATAGATCAAACTACTATTGTTAGAGAAAAAAAAACATGTTTGGATATATATATCTTTAGGATAATACGATTCTAAAAGATAATTATACAAATTGATTAATTATCATAATAGTAAATAATATAAAAAATTAAAAGTTAATGAAATTTTATACTATCCAACAATAAACGCTCTTGAGATGAGTTACTTTAAATATGTATCTATCTTATTCTATATTTGAAGTAATTATAATGTAAAATATTATTTCAAAGTCAATGATACTGACATAACAATTTTTAATAACATATAGTAATTGTATTATAATATTCTGCGGAACACGTGGATATTCGTCTAGTCTATATTTATATATCTATATCTATATTATACATATTTATAAAGCTAATATTTTTTCTTGAATCTCATGCATTTGAAACCCACTTTTTTAACTAATGCAACTCAAAAGTTTTCTTACTTATAATTTAACACTCAAAAGTTTTATAACTTATATTATGTTTAATTAGCATTTAGTTTTTATAAATCATATAAATCATATACAAATTTTCTTACTTACAATTTTT